TAGTAAGCATGAAAATAAGAGCAATGGCAGAAATCTGACATCATTAAACTTTCCCTGATTTTGCCAATTTTGCATACAGTACTTGATGTTAAAATGTATGGAGGTAACATGAATGACCATAGTTGATTCTGCACTGTGCACTAGTTCTCTCGAATCTGTTGAATCTTCATCAAGATTGAAACTACTTTCCATACAAATCATTAGCGAACCATTTATTTGTAATAAAATTTAAAGTCAATATTTGCTGAATAAAAGCAAAAAGATATGATTGAGACTGGAACAAATGACCGAAAATATCGACAATTTATGATGACTGGCCCGGTAGCGGATACTCTCAGACTGAATAAATAGCATAAACACGAAAGACAAAAAATTCATTTTAATTGCAAATCAGATACTAAATTAAAAATTCACAGCTGCGATTGTATGGATGCGAATAATTTCAGAAAGAAAGGGAAAACAACCACCCCCTTGCTAAACTGAAAGGTAAGGGAATGACCGAAAATGACATAAAACAACTGTCTGGAAGGACTTTGATCGAGACTCGAGCAATATTCTGCAAAAAATGAGATGCTAGCATAGAATCGGAAATGTTACGAACAATGTCTGAAACGTCTGCTTCTGTGATTGGCAAGGATAAGCTGTGATTGAAACCGACTGGTTGTAAAAATGTTATTTCCAACCCGCAGAGCACTGGTCACTATAACTCGTTTATGAAGCCACCTTCGACTTCTGAACGAGTTTCAATGCAATCGTCATTGGCAAGACTGATCTATGCGTAGTGAGTTTTGGTGTTCATTCAAAAATGAAAATATAAACAAATTTCCAGCTGTTTGGATGTCACTTGCTCTCAGTTTTACATTAATTAGCCAATGTTACCACTCTTTTTTCACAAGTTATTACAAGGCTGATTTGTCTCCATTTGATCAGCTTGGAGTGCTTTATATTTTTAAGGGCAAAACTGGCAGTAGTCGATTTGAGAAAAGTTTTCGGTACATTTTCCTGTTTCTTGCACACTAATTTATTAGAGTGGTACTGATTTGTCGATATCGAAGTAAGAAAGGCGAACGATTTTGACCAGGCTGGAATTAAGGATGTCCTTGGTTCTGAGTCCGGCACTTTAGCAACGAGTAATTACAGTCCAAGCAACGCATAGTAAATTAATTTTTGAAATTAATTCGTGATAAAAACAAACTTTATTACATGCGGGAGTAGAATCCGGCACCTGCAGATTTAGAGCTCGAAGCCTCTGACGATCGTCTATTCACACTACGTTTGACTGTACTTTTCGATAAGCGCAGGTTGCAGCTATGATAAATATGAATATTTGATTTTAAGTTTTATATTTGAATAAACAAAATTGGATGGTTAGTCGCTAGGAGGAAACGGAAGAGGCTAATATTTACGGCATTCGTTTCGGTGGAATTCAGCTCTCATATTACACAGTATGGCATTGATATACATAATTATATTACATGATTAACTGCAGTTTACAGTAATCACTGCACTGACGACACTAAACTTGTGAATTAGATTCCGTTGAACAATGGCTACTGTTGGAATGAGTCCCATTGACAAATTCTTCAGCGCCTTAGATCAGAAACTGTAAGTAATGTTGCAATTTACTGAAATTAACATGGTAAATTGTAAAATGTAAATCTACATTACATCTATACACAGCGCATTAAGTGCTTGCCTTTTCTGTCTGTTTCACAGGATATGTCTAAAGTTGCGGTTAGAAATGTAGCAGAATTTTATAAAGGCACTATAATTAATCCTATTCGTTAAGTTCTATCTTTCCTTCTTAATTTTCGCTAAAAGTAGCGAGCTGAGTTGTTAAACGTTCGAGAAAGAATTCAGTTCGAAATCCAAAGGCCTTAAGTATAGTGGTTTAGATTCGATTACTTCAGAAATGTAGTTCATGTGACTTGCAGTACGGATTGTATACGAGTCCACTTCTTACCAGCAGTTTCCAAGCGGTTTGAATGAGCAAAAACTGAAATCTGGTCACTTCAAAAAAAGAAAAACAATATTTAGTAACCACGTCCTTCCTAACAGTAAGTACTAATTGTTTTGACTGTAGCTCTTCAGTAACTATAAATAATTTCTTTTTGTATGCAATGTGCCCCGTTTTGCTGTACTTGAAATGTTTACTTGATTGATTGAACTTTCGTTCTTTATGACTCATAGCCCCATGATATGTGCAGGTTTGAAATTCAGGCCACTTGTTATTTAGTATATTCGTATGGTAGCTGTTTAGTATATGTTTAAGCATAAGTTTGTGGTCACGGTTCCAGTGAGCATGCATAAAAATTTATTAAGCTTCATGGTATATAATGCGCTGATTTTAGCTCCCGTGAAAACCGTATAAAGTATAAAATAGTTTGAAGCTGATCCATTGAATTTGGTTTTTCATGTTGCCAGCTGAGCACTTTAATAAACAGAACTGGGTTTCCCTCTTTCGCCATTTCTCTTTAGATGATTTTCTAACTTACGATCACTGCGTTGATCTCTTATAGAATTGAAGCATCCAAGGTCCTTACAAATGAACAGTAAAAATTCGCTACGCTTGTTGTAGAGTTTCGTGTCATTTTGACGAAGAACATTTAAATTATAAATTTTATGAACGTAGAAATAATCTGCATAATCGGTAAACTGAAATACCCAGTGAATTACCCAAACATTTTGGAAAATTCTTTTACCACTGCAGTCTAGCCCGAAAAAGGTTTCTGAAGCAGGTTTCTGAAAAATTGCTTGCGCTTCACTTTTAGATGTATTCATTTCGGCCTCTCTAACCGGTAAGACGATTTTCCAGTTTGTTCTCCCATGCCTTGCCTCTGTGCACTTGATTCTTCTTAATTAGGAAGAAGTTCAAGAAGAATAACTTCGGATTAGACACTAGTGATATCGTCACATTTAAGTACCTCTCGAAATTTTTATGAAGAATTGAGATCGAGTCATTTGTAATATTTACTGAACAGATCCCATCAACGTCAGTCAGTCCCTGTTGACCGATACCAATTTCCATTAAACGTATCCGAGAATCATAGAGGAATGTTCAACAGTGCCCAAGACTATACAGCTGCATCGCCATTCAGTAATAGCTTTCTTCTGCAGGACTCATAAAGCGCTTTCTGCACAGAAGAGCTTCATTGTGCATAACTTCGATTTGCTGCGTTGAAGGCGTTTCTATTTTCCATTACTGTTTTATAATGAGCATACCATGTAATGCAGATGGCAGCCATGTCTCCCACGCGAATGAACTTTGCTCTTAAGTTTGATAAATATTAAACAATGCGAGTTTTACACGCCTAATTTACTTAGGTAAGATGATCTTCTTGTATTTGGCCCAAGT